CAGCAGCCAGCTCAGAATTCTTGCACTTAGGGGAATAGATGAATGCTCAGCACTGACTGCAAGCATTTTCAGTGGAAGTGGTTGCAGGCAGGCTATAGTTCATTCTGTAAAGACCAGCAGAGTTCTTCCATCAGCATATTCATGGCAGACCTTCATACACAGCTCCTTTTCTCAACTTTGCATTCCGATGTAAGGAAATAAGAGGAAAGTATTTCTTTCTTTATTGGCATATGTGAACACATTTTGCCAAGCAATATTTCTTGTGATATTAGTTTGCCAGTTAGTTGGCAAATAAATACAGAATAGTTATTTTGGCTGTCAGTTTACCAATACTGACGTGTCATTCATACCATGTCCTTTACAACCACCACCCTGAATAATCAGCAACAGAGCTCATTGAAATGCATAATGTCTCTGCTTGCAATGGTCTATTCATAATTAGGAAGCTTGCAGCTTCACAAGTAGGTCGTTCCTGAGAAAAGGAAGGTAGGATTTGTTTAATTCATTAATGTTATTTTGATCTAGCTTGTGTGTTTCCTTCCCTTTTATTCCCAATAAATGTATTCAGTCCCACAGCATGAAGAATAACATTCAGTATTTTGAAACTCATGTTAATAAATGGCAGCTATAAAAAGCTGGAGCCTGCATCCAAGGCAAGATGAGTTTAGGTCCTGCTTTAACACTTTAGCCGGGACGTTCATTCAACTTGGGAGTGGAGGGTGCCATCTTTGCCTCAGGTCCTTGCTTGGGAGATCCAGAATGTGGACCAAAATCTTGTTGCTTGGCATAGTGAATGGTATTAACATAGGCCTATTGAATCAATGGAGAGTCGGTAAGTCAAATCTTCCATAAATTCAGCTGACTTAATGGGCCTCTCCTGCTGTGATTTACTATACTAAGCAATAAGAGTTTGGCTTTTATCTATTTCCATTAGCTGTAACGGGGAGTCAACAAACAGCTGTAAGTTGTGCCAGCTGTAGAAAGTTAGGAATAAGTAGAAACCACCACTGCCAACAGAACTGGCCATCTAGAGCCAGAATCTGCTTATGCTGCTTAGATACCTGGTGGCAGAGAGATCTGAAAGCTAGGATCTGCTGACAATAGAATAATTTTTTAAAAAGGTAAATAAGGGGTAGAAGAAAAAGGAAACAAGTTATGTCATATCCAAACCTTGTGCAACCCAGGTAAATGGAGATTACACAGGCACAAAATCTGACCAAAATAAGGGTAGACCTAAATAATTTCCATGGGCTTGGAAGGCTTTGACATCATCACAACCCTAACTATTCTACTGTCAGCATAGCTCTGTTCAGCTAGCTCTCAGCCATTTAGACTAGTTAGGAAAATGCTCCTAAATATATAAATTAATTATGTCTGTAATTTAATCTAATATAGATAGATAGATAGATAGATAGACCAAAATAAGGGTAGACCTAAATAATTTCCATGGGCTTGGAAGGCTTTGACATCATCACAACCCTAACTATTCTACTGTCAGCATAGCTCTGTTCAGCTAGCTCTCAGCCATTTAGACTAGTTAGGAAAATGCTCCTAAATATATAAATTAATTATGTCTGTAATTTAATCTAATATAGATAGATAGATAGATAGATAGATAGATAGATAGATAGATAGATAGATAGATAGATAGATAGATAGATAGATAGATAGATAGATAGATAGATAGATAGATAGATAGATAGATAGATAGCAGTATTAAAAGAAACAAAACAAAGTTTAAGCAAAGTAATTAATTATTACAATATTAAAAAGCATTAATAATCTGTAAAATGGCAGCGGTAATCTGATTTTGGAAGCCAAGTAGAGTTCACCCTTGTTCATACTTAATTGGGAGACCAGATGCTATATCAGGGGATGTGCCATAGTTGAGTGTTAATCACATAAGTTTTCCATGCAGATAGCATCAGGTTCAACACTTGGCATGCCTACAATTGTGAGGGGGGGATCCTGTCTTGTATTCTAGAGAGCCACTACCAATTGGAGCTGACAATAGTGGGCTAAGTGGAACCACTATTAAAGTTATCACTAATACAATGCACTTTTTGTTTACTGTTCATGCATCCAAGACATGTCAGAATATCACAAAATAAATATATTCCATCCTTTCAGCATTCTACTTTTTGTTCTTTTCTTTCTGCTGACTCAGTCTGAAGTAGATTTCTATGTTCCTACCAAAAGCAGGCACTCTTCAAATAGGAGTTACACTCCCCGTACAGTATTATAGTATGTATTAGCCACCATTCAAGAGTAGAGACGGGCATGAAGCAAGCAAGCAAACAAACAACAAATTAGAAAATCCATGAAAAATCACTAATTTGCCAATTCATATTCATCTGAAGTGATGCCCGGATTAATATGAATCCATGAAACTGAGATTTTTGAGTTATTGAATCATCGATCGATCGATCGATCGATCGATCGATCGATCGATCGATCGATCGATCGATCGATCGATCGATCGATCGATCGATCGATCGATCGATCGATCGATCGATCGATCGATCGATCGATCGCTGCCATTGTGGAACCATCTTGAAAAATAGCCTTCCTCCCGTAAGCCCATGGCCCTTGCACATGTCTCCCACTTTTCTTGCTGGGAAGTTCTGATTGCTACTATGAAAGGCAGGCAAACATCCTGGCACCTTGAGAGAAAACTTTGCCCAGGCATGAGACTCCTGCCTTTCACAGTAACAGTTGGATCTTTCCAGCAAGAAAATGGCAGGCTTTGGATGACTGGAGCTTGTAGAAGATCCCTGGTGTAATAACTTCATTTCATATGAGCTATAATGATCTGCAGAAAGCTCATATACATCTCCACTCACACATTTTTTTTATACAGAGAGCTTGTGGGCATAGGGAATTATTCATTTCTGCACATTGGTCAAAATTCAATTACTAGTCCCCCATCAGAAGGACTTGCATACATTTAATTATTATTCAGCACATGATTCCATGGGTCTGTTTTAGTAGGACCAGCACTTGTATTCAAGACACTGTAACCTCAGTTCTTCTGAATCTCCAGTGGGGCAGAACTCAGATCAGGTGACTTTGGAAGCCACCAACTTTGGTTGTTGTGGGTTTTTCAGGATCTTTGGCCATGTTCTGAAGGTTGTTCTTCCTCACATTTCATCAGTATCTGTGGACGGCATCTTCAGAGGACAGGACCAACTTTGCTTTGGATATGTTCTAAACTTTTCTGAAGTGGTGTAGTTTGGTTCATATTTATCCAAAGCAAATGCATGCCGCCCACACAAAAAAAAATCATTCTAAATACACAAACTAGACATCTCTCTGTAGTTCCCTTTGCAACTATCACTGGATGTTCCATTGTTCCTACGTCGTTATTTTTTGCTGTGGTGTTGGGATTCTTTATTTACCGTTCTTAATAAGCTGCCCTTTAATGACCAAGGTAATTGAAACCTTTAATCCCGTATCTGAAAGTATATGGAAACACCACAATGTCCAAGCCACACACCCTGTTTAGACCTGCCATACTTCTCCATGCATGTGTGTGAATATGTTCTTGTGTCTAATGGTAACATCCTTCTTTTCCCAAGCAACACAATTTTCATTGATTTCATTCTCTAATCTTCCAGACTGTTTCATGTCTTCTGCGTACAGCTTCTTTTTGAGAGTGTGTAGAGGTCAGCTACAGAGAGGAGGGTGAGCTCAGATTTGTGAAAAGCTTCCTAGGTGACTGTATTCTGTAACACAGCTTGCTTTATTGGTGCCTAGGGATAGGTGCAAATCTTCTTTGGTAGCCTTTAAAGCATATCAGTACCTACCTCTTCATTGCACCTGCAGAATCCAAAGCATTTGGGAGTAACCATGTGAGCCCTTGAATGTAATTACAGTATGATTTGAGTTTGCTTCATAATACTGGAGATTTCCCCCAAAACACCTTGGATATGTTATTTAAGTACACAAAGTAAAAATGTTTTGAAATGCTACCAGAAGTTTATACTATTTATTTTACTGGTTTCACATTTAAAAGTTATTAGCTACACATGTCTTTGTTTGGTACATATAACTGAGAATAATAATGTTGATACAGAAGATAAATTAAGTACCTCCACATAGTATAGTAAAATGCAGCCTCCTTCTACTACTCCTTCTTCTTGTATATCAACCACTCATCCTCCTCTGTTTCTACAACTAACTTACGGTATTAGTTCATTGTTTTTCTCTTCATTCTTTTAACAAGCTCTATCCAAATACTTTATTTCCTCTCCTTTGTTTATTTTCCAATAACATCAGGTATCTGATACAGATACAAGGCTTCTGTTTTTTGGAAGCTTTGCTTTTGCAAAATAAAATATCATTTGGACGAATGGTTTGCTGCAGCTTGAAAAAAAGTGCTCATTTTAATTAAAACAAATAATGCAATGCATATTGAAGATATGTTTTGGACTACTGCTTCAGTACGATCAGTAGATTTTTACATAGTTCTTAGGAGTATTGACTCTCTAATGGGGGTTTGGATTTAATGGCTTAACATTCTACAAAAGTAGATAATCCTGGTTTACATGAGGCAGCCTGGTGTAAGTTGGGCAAATGATAATAAAATATAGCTGTTTCTAGAGTCAGGTGTCCCCCCCCCCATATTTGTCATGGACAGATGACACACCAAGCAATCTTCAGTGGATGAACTAGAAATGTTGTTTCTGATATTTTATTGTTGTTTGTTTTAATGTTGTTATTACAAAAACAACTTGTTAAAGCAACTTTCATTCACAGCAGTTTAATTCTTAAAGTCCTATTTCATTTATCATTCCGTATCTTTGTGAGATTTGCTAAGATGCAGTTTCTGTTTAATGTGTTTAGTACTAGACTTTGAGGTTTAAATACTTCTGCTTGGTAATATTTTATGTCATGACAAGGTAAGTCTCTTTTGTATTCCCATGAATAACAAAGTGGTGATTTCATGATGGGTGTCTGAATGGAAATATGCTTTATTTCCTTTTGTTGTTGTTGAACAGACATTGATGAATGCTCAGATGGCTTTGTTCAATGTGATAGTCGTGCCACCTGTATTAACTTGCCCGGATGGTACCACTGTGAGTGCAGGGATGGATACCATGATAATGGCATGTTTTCACCTGGTGGAGAGTCATGTGAAGGTCAGTAAGAGGGCCACATAATTAATTTCTTATTGCTATAAATCTGTGTTTAAATAATGTTCAGGGTCTCTGATAGAGAATTCCTGGTGCTGAGACAGTGTTCCATATAGGCTACAACATGTTTTCTGTTCTGGAGAGAGGTGCTAATCACTGTACTTTAATTGTCCCAACCCTCTGACCTCTTTGAGCAAAGCATTACACTTTACAGTGGTCTCAGGAAGCAAGCACTTTATAGCTTGACCCCTAGAAATATGAGGGGATGATGACAGGCTCCTCCCCCTCCTCTGATGGGACTTGGCATTTGTGGATATCCTCGAACTGGTATATTTATATACCTTTGGGTCCGAGCCAGTGTGCATTCTTGGCTTGTAAATATATATATTTCACTGTCACTAAGCTGGTTTAACTGGGCTTAATTGTTCTTGCTGCATACAATATTGTGGATATTGGACAAGAGGGATTAAGCATATAATTCCATCTAGCAGTGGGCTGCAAAAATCCTCTCATGTTCATTATCCCATTCATAGAACATAAAACAGTTTCTTCAGATAGGGTGGGCAAATATTCTGTCGGGTAGAAAACCAATAAAGGTAGAGGTGGACTGTCATCTTAATATTGTTTTCTTATTTTTAACAAATCAGTTGCTGCTGACTTGCAGCCACTTGCAGTGCTATGAGCTAACACATCTTGCTATCATGTCTCAAAATTGTGTGCCATCTTGATGTACTGTCATTCCAAGCAACATTGTGGGTGGGGGACTTCTGTGATTTACCCTTGTATCTGGCATTGTTAGATGTCCATGTGGATTGTACATTTAGATAGAATTTACATGCACAAAATGCAGTGTGGAAAAGCCCAGTTGATGCAGTCAAGATCTCTAGATAAAATCAGACCTAACCTAATCAAGCAAAGTGGACCTAAATTTGCTGCATACAGATCCTATTCAAATATTGCACCCTCTTCCATGTGTGTAAGATGTGGGATGGTTTTACTGGGTTGGTAGAAAGGAATGATGTACTCTTCTTCACACTCTTTACATGTGTTTAGCTTCCTACTCCGCTCCTGTTAGACAAATGACTTGTATCCATGAAGCATAATTAAAAGTATTGAGAGATGAGCTCTGTGTAATTATTATGCTGTAGGCATTATTATTTTTAAAAAAGAGGCTTCTAATGTCTCAGGCAGAAAGAGAAGAAATAAGTATATTACATAAACAATAATAACCATGTAATCATTTTTACATTTTACTGATTTCTGAGTAAAAACCTCCAGTTTTATGTATTTTCCCCCCCTATATTTACTCAGTATACATTTTAAAAAGTCTCTTATTCCACTGTAAAATGCTACCTGTGGGGCAAAATTATGCTGCACTTACAATTTGTAGGAATACTGCATTTAAGGGAGAAGCAATTTGACCAGCAATATCGCATGCTTAGAAATACTGAGATTCTTGGGTGCTTTGATAAATGACATTACATGGAATGGCAGGTTAGTGGGAGGGCAGTTATTTTAAGATGTAGCTCTGCCAAAATAGAACTTTCAGTTTTATAAACAATTATTTAGATGTTATAAATTGAAGTTTGTTCAGTGTAGGCTGCATTATGTTCAGTTATGGTCTACGTAAATCAAAAGGAACAGGATGAATAATTTTCCATAATTCTAAATGTCAACATCCTCTCAAATTTTTGGTATCATTGTCCAGAAATAGCATATAACCAATTTTACAGGAGAATGAATTACATATTTTCCTCTCCAGATGCCCCCTCCCCTCAAGCTTTCTGATTCAGAAGGGACAGTCTCCCTGAATTTATATTTCTGGAAAATAAAGATTCCAAGACAAATACTACCTTCTGATGAGATAGGCAGAGCTGTCACACACATCCAGATTCAAGTCTCTAAATGGCTTGCGTTATGGCATAGGTGTGTAGAAAATAAAGTTCCATGATGTCAGCCACCTTTACTGCCTAGTAAAACTTGGAATGTTACATGTGAAATACGAAATATTTCCCCTCATATTCTTGTTTAGCATAGGAAGTTGAAATTAGAGTAAGCCCATTGAATTAGTGGGAATTTTGTGAGTCTTCTATATGTTCCATTGATTCAGTGGGCCTATTCCAGTTGTGACATGCTAAGCTACAGAATTTCAACCATTGTTTCTTAAATGTATTTATTTGTTGAGAAAAAAGATAAGCAAATACATCTAAGTACTGTACTGCTGATGTTGCAGTTTCTAATTGTGCTAATAACATGACCCAAATCTTGTTGCTTAGCATAATAAATTGTGCTAGAGTAGGCCCATTGCATCAATGGGGTTTAGTGAGTCAGCTCCTCCATAAGTCCCATGGATTCAAATGGGTGTACTCTAACTGCAACTTACATGCTAAAGTAAGTAGCAGTTGGAGTAAGCCCATTTGAATCAATGGAAATTATGAAGCAGCTTACTCACCAAATCCCTGTTGATTCAACAGGCTTGCTTTAGTGTGATTTACTATGTTAAACAACAAGATTTGGGCCCATGTCTAAATTGTTATTCACATCATTTAACAAATCTGCAATTTAGAGAAAAGAGAAAAAGAATGTCTCTTAATGCTTCTCACTAAACTGCAGAATTAATAGAATACTTCCAAGAAGACATGAAAGCAGGCCACAAAACTCAACAAACCATTTCCAGAAGTTGACTGGTATATATTATAATCACTACAAGCTATGTAAGCATTAGGGAATATAGTTGTAATAACTTTTGTAAAAGAAAACTTCCATGTCAACTGAATGCACTCTCAATGGATTATTTTTACTAATCTATCCCCATCTTTCTGATGGTACAAAACATCACAAGGTTGCAAAAATACTTCTGCTAGCGGTCTTAAAATGAAAACAGGAATCATAACTAAATCAAAGTGAGAAAGGGTCATGGGAGCAGTGGAGTTCATCCTGGTGTATGAACAGTGTATCTCAGGAATATACATTTAAACATACCTAGGTGTATTGGAAACAAGCAATTTCTTATTAAGTGTACGCCCTTTTTACAACTTGCTAAGTGGTCATAACAAGCAGACTCTAATTATTCAGTTAATTGATTATTATTAATTGAATAATTTATCATATTCCACATATAAAGATGCTGTTTTGAGAACCATTGATTGTCATGGTAAGATCATCAAAAAGAGTTATTTTGATGTATAATGTAAAAAAGGTAAGAGATTGGTTTCAAGCTGAATTGTAAACTAAGATGCCTAACAGGAACACAAGGACCAGTTCTTAATCACCAGTTGAGAAAATGGCTAGCTTTGGAATACTTCCCCCCCCCCCCGGGTCAGCAGAATTTTGGACTCATGTGTCTCTGTTTGCCAGTAGAAGCCACTGAAGCATTGTTTTCTGTGTGGTGGAAATTGCAGTGTGTTTGCATTATATGTCTTTTAAACATGACATGGGAGTGATAACTGTGACATACCATCAGTGTCTAGGATTTATGGGACAAGTGATATTTCCTATCCTCTTTCGCTCCCCCCCATTCCTTTTTGTTGTATTCAGCAATAATTGACTCTGTTTGGTCCTTGCATTCTCAGTATTTTATGTGTTTGGTCCTCTAGTTATAGCTATAAACAAAATGTCAGCAGTATAATTCACTCTTTATGGTGGTTTGCTACAACATCGGAGCACCCAAAACATGTTCTTGCAGAAGTATATGATTTATGATGTAACTGCAGACCAAAACTAAAGTTGGATGCTCCTAAATAAGGGGGATCTGCATTTCATTTGTGCAGGCTGCATTTGCATTTATATGTGCATTTATTGCTGACTCTAATAAGAGTTTAACACATGTCTGAAGCGTGAGACTTCCTGACTACCTGTCATTACTCTCATGCCATTTTCAAAAGACATGTATAATAAATGCAGTTTCTGCTCTACATTGTCCTGTTTCAGATGCTTTTAAAGATAAATAGAGGCACATGAGTCTGAAATTGTGCCGATTTGGGGTGGGGAGTAGGGTGTCAGGGTCCTCAAAAGTAGGTCCAAAGGTGGCAGCTTCCTCCAAGGTAGTTTTGGTTCTTCTTTTTTTGTCAGAGTCTGAGAATATACTAGGTTTGAGACTTAGCCTCTCCTGTTTTTCTTTTACTCTGCCTTTATTATGATAATAATGTACAATCTCTAAGAAAGGACCTTCATCAGCTTAGCAACTTCCATAATTTGAGTAATAATGCACAGCTAGTCATCAGCCAGATGTCTTGTACAGTAGCTTTCAAAATACTGCACATACAGACCATAAACAATGCAAATATTTTAAGAATGCAAATATTTTAAGAACACACTCTTTATTAAAAGTTGCACATGTTCCACTCTTGTAACCTATCAGTAGTTGAGTTGCCTCCAGGTATAATCTTACTTCATATAGACTCAGAGAATTCAATAGGGTTTGCTCAAGTTCTGTTGTAATCACAGACTGTGTAGACCCTGTGAAATCACCTTGATCCAACCCAATGATTTTTCAGCTAATAAAGGGAAATTTGCCAACTCAGCCAACCACTCCTGAGAGAAAGTTTCAATGGGAGTTATAGCCACAGAGTAAGCTCAATATGATGCTTGTCCATCAGATAAGAAGGAGATCCTCTTTTGAAGGTCATGAAAAGAGAGAGAATATATGGCAGGGATGAGCAAATTCTTGCTTGGACTGCAGTTCCCCTCAGCACTAATGAAGATAGCCTGTAATGACGGCTGAAGGAAGGTGTACTCCAGCAACATCTGAAGGGCTACAGATGTTGCTGGAGTTTTTAAATTTTGGTCTGTGGTTTTTCTGACACCTTATTTTTGTGGAAGAAAAATATGGACCCTTCTTTCCCTTTAAAAGATAAAAATATATTTTACTTCTAAAAAGGGCTGCAGAAATGTAAAGGAACTTAATTTTTCTACAATGTCTGCAGCATTTTAAAAATGAAAAACAGCATGCCGCCTTATATGTGTGTAAGCAATGCATTAGTGAAATACATGTCTGTAAAGCATTCTGCCATTTCTAGGAAATAAACTGTTCTATAGATTTAGCTTTATTACTGACAATAATTCATGTGGGGGTTTTTTATGGACTGGAAGGAAGGATCTTAGATATCCTGCAACTTGAATAATGATAAATTACAGGTAATACTCTGTTCCCCACATAGATTCTGTGACCTTTTTGTAATGAAGAAACATTAATTATGAGCATTAAAAACATGTGCAGGTTACCTCAGCAATCTAGACTCATGAAAAGGTATGGGAAGAGAATTTGAATTTGGACTTCTGTAGTTCCATGAGCGTGAGTTGGTTGAACTAAGAGAGAGAGATGGATTTCAGTGAGATGCAAATTAGCATGACAATAATGGCTAGGGTTCATGGAATGCAGTGTAGAATCATCCTGTGACCTCTTCCTACAGACATTGATGAATGTGCCACAGGGAGGCACAGCTGTGCCAATGACACCATTTGTTTTAACCTGGATGGTGGCTATGACTGTCGGTGTCCACATGGGAAGAACTGCACAGGAGACTGTGTCCATGAAGGCAAGGTCAAACACAATGGGCAAATTTGGGTCTTGGAGAACGATAGGTGCTCTGTCTGCTCCTGCCAGGTAAGCCACCATTAGTACAGAATGCCATGGAGGAGGGGAAAATAATGCATATAAAGGGAAAGACCAGAAGACCAAACTCCTTTTTTCAGAGGGGAGATGGTGGTGTGCTTCAGGCCTTGTTGCCCACTTATTACAACTGAAATAATTAAAATAAACAGTACTACTAGGTCAGCCACGCTGAGACAGATGAACCATCTATTGAGTCAGTCATCCTGTCTCTGGTCATCTTAGTCTGAATTATCACTGGGCAAGATCTGCCTGTGGACATGTCCTGATGGAGGAGTAGAATCCAACAGAACCAGAGAGGGCCAGCCCCCACAGCACACACTCCATATGCCTTAAAAACCTTCTCTGGAGGTCTTGGAAACCCTTCTGGGCCAAAGCAGGGGGCCACAATAGGAGGAGGGAAAGAAATATCTGTCAAAACCACCAGGGCAATGTTGTAAGCCGAATACAACTAGTACTATTTATTTATTAATTTAATTTAATTTAATTGATAGGAGGAGGGAAAGAAAGCTCTGTCAAAACCACCAGGGCAATGTTGGACTTAGTCAACTAATAATGCCTTCAGTAATTATTTTAAATTCACAGTATTATTTGAACAATTGTATTGTAAGCCGAATACAACTAGTACTATTACTACTACTAAAATCCAAAACTAATAGTCCTATAAATTATTAAATAAAATATTCCTATTTTCCTTTCTCCACCATATTTACACATGTTTATTTGCTTCCCTCCCCCTCCCCCCCATATTGTTTTGTCTTGCAATGGTAGAGTGGATATGTAATGTGCCGACGAATGGTCTGCGATTGTGAGAATCCCACCGTTGACTTATTTTGCTGCCCTGAATGTGACCCAAGGCTCAGTAGCCAATGTTTACACCAAAGTGGGGAGATCTTATATAACAGTGGAGACACCTGGGTTCAAAACTGTCAGCAGTGCCGGTGTTTGGTAAGTTTATATATATATATTTTAAAAAAATTAATCTGTTGCTCAAATGGCTGGGCAGCTCAGTGGTTTAGGTATCTGCCTGTGTTGGAAGGTTGGAAGTTCGATTCCCCACTGTGTCTCCTTGACAGGGAATGGACTTGATGATCCATAATGTCTCTTCCAGCTTTGCAGTTCTAAGAGGATGATGATGATGATAAATATTAGATTTATGGCAGTACAAGAATCTATTGTTTGTGAAGAATATTTGATTGAAGCAACAGATGGAGATCCTGCATCCAGAGAACAGAAGTAATGTCTTGTTATCAATCATGATTAGAAAAGCAAATTGAAATCATTGAAACCTGATGCAAATATTCATCCAGAGTAATGAAAATCTAGTCACACAGCACAGAGGAAATTCCCCTTGTTAAGTAATTTTAAGAAAGTTGGGCACATTAAGTGCCTATTTAAATAAGTGGAGCTCCATGAACAGTTCATTCTTTAGCTCTGTTGAAAACAATGTGATCTAAGGCCAACCAGTCTTCTGGTTGAATCCCTTTTTCACTTTTAGTGCTCATCTAAATGCTCTGCTGTATATATTGAGAATATATTGCTATATATTGAAGTGAAGTGGGTCTTAGAAAGCATGGCTAACAACAAGGCCAGTGGAGGTGATGGTATTCGAGTTGAACTATTTAAAATCTTAAAAGATGACGCTGTTAAGGTGCTACATTCAATGTGCCAGCAAGTTTGGAAAACTCAGCAGTGGCCAAAGGACTGGAAAAGATCAGTCTACATCCCAATCCCAAAGAAGGGCAGTGCCAAAGAATGCTCCAACTACCGTACAATTGCACTCAGTTCACACGCTAGCAAGGTTATGCTCAAAATCCTCCAAGGGAGGCTTCAGCAGCATGTGGACCGAGAACTCCCAGAAGTACAAGCTGGATTTCAAAGGAGCAGAGGAACTAGAGACCAAATTGCTAAATGGCAAGTCCTTAAAGAAATGGGAGTGCCTGACCACCTTATCTATCTACTGAGAATCCTATATGTGGGACAGGAAGCAACAGTTAGAACTGGATATGGAACAAGTGATTGGTTCAAAATTGGGAAAGGAGTACGACAAGGCTGTGTATTGTCTCCCTGATTATTTAACTTATATGCAGAATACATCATGTGAAAGACAGGACTGGAGGAATCCCAAACTGGAATTAAGATTGCCGAAAGAAATATCAACAACCTCTGATATGCGGATGACACCACTCTGATGGCAGAAAGTGAGAAGGAATTAAAGAACCTCTTAATGAGGGTGAAAGAGGAGAGTGCAAAAAACGATCTGAAGCTCAACATCAAAAAAACTGCGATCATGTGCACTGGCCCCATCACCTCCTGGCAAATAGAAGGGGAAGATACGGAGGCAGTGACAGATTTTCCTTTCTTGGGCTCCCTGATCACTGCAGATGGAGACAGCAGCCACGAAATTCATAAATGCCTGCTTCTTGGGAGGAAAGCGATGACAAACCTCAACAGCATCTTAAAAAGCAGAGACATTACCTTACCAACAAAAGTCTGCATAGTCTAAGCGATGGTTTTTCCTGTAGTGATGTATGGAAGTGAGAGCTGGACCATAAAGAAGGCTGACCTCCAAAGAATTGATCCTTTTGAATTGTGGTGCTGGAGGAGACTCTTGAGAGTCCCCTGGATTGCAAAGAGAACAAACCTATCCATTCTGAGGGAAATCAATCCTGAGTGCTCACTGGAAGAACAGATCCTGAAACTGAGGCTCCAATACTTTGGCTATCTCATGAGAAGAGAAGATTCCCTGGAAAAGACCCTGATGTTGAGAAAGTGTGAAGGCAGGAGGAGAAGGGGACGACAGAGGATGAGATGATTGGACAGTGTCATTGAAGCTACTGACGTGAATTTGACCCTACTCCGGGAGGCAGTGGAGGACAGGAGGGCCTGGCATGCTCTGGTCAATGGGTCATGAAGAGTCGGACATGACTAAACAACATATTGAGAATTAAGTCCATCTTGTCTGTTGTAATTACTGCCAGGTGATTATGCATGAAAGAAATGGATGTGTTACAGGAGAAGCAAAGTGGATAATACCTTTATTGGACTGCTAAAATGTTGAAAGTGGGTGGACTTTCAAGTTCAGCAGGTTCTGCCTTCAGTCTGAGTGGGAGAGGAGAAACAGAAAAAGCCAACATTCCTTTTGCCAGATGTTGGGGGATCCAGTGTCAGGGTCACCTAATTTGTCCTATATTTCTTGGAGTACAAGTTGATACCTAAAGCTGATGCAATGTGTGTGGCATCTCCATATGGGACGATTTCTTAATTCAGATCCTGAAACAAACATCTGGTCAAAATGGATTTTGAATGTGTCTGTTTTTCTTCCCCTGCACTCTTATGCTCTGAAATGACCAGCCTGAACAGGAGTTCTGCTGAACTTGAAAACTCATTTGTTTTTAATATTTTAGTGGTTCTTGTTTTTGGATTTTATTCAAGTGCCATTTTCCCCATTGGGTGTATTAGGATTGTTTCATTCTAGATGTTTATAGACTGCTATTTCCAACTATGATTTTAAAAAAAGCCCACTATAATAATGCTTAAATATGCTGTTGTTTTTGTAAAGAGTTAGGCTCAAAAAATTGTTTTGCTATAAAAAAATCAATGAGAATCAAATCAGGAAGTATGGATGATAGCATGGTATGATCTAGTGGTATATGCCACTTACCTTGCCTAATATGGTAGGTGACTGTCTTTAGCCCAGTTTTAGCTCTATATAGCAAGCCATTATCGTAAAGAAAAAATGTGACTGAATATTAATGAATAATAGATACAAATGAACGTAGTGATGAATAATGATGCTAAACGATAAACAGTGAAATCTAGTATTGATGTATCTCTCCGTGTGTGCGTGTTGTGTGTGTTTTAAACAGCAGGGTGAAGTTGACTGCTGGCCTTTGCCTTGTCCAGAGACAGAATGTGAATTCAGCGTCCTCCCTGAGAATGAGTGTTGCCCTCATTGCGTCACTGACCCCTGTCAAGCAGACACCATTAGGAATGATATAACCAAGACTTGTCTGGATGAAACTAATGTGGTTCGCTTCACTGGGTCATCTTGGATTAAGCATGGCACTGAATGCACCCTCTGCCAATGCAAGGTGAGAGGAGTAAGAATGAAACTGTGATCACTTTTTTTTTCCAGCTGGCTTTATGGGTTATAAATATTAATGTATTTAGTACAATTATTAATGTGTCTATTTCTACACTTGGAGTATAGAAACACTGAGCATTGTTAACATCAGTATTTTCTTCCAAGGAACAGAAGCATTCAGGAATCTGGGCAATTGTTTAGGTGCACCACAGCAGGGCAGGATTCTCACAGCCTATGCATTATGTGACCTTGACTCTTTTTTTCTTTTCTTTTTTAAGCGAAATGTATCCATTGCTCCATTTTGATGGCTGTCCTTGTTGCTCTCATCTTTTTGGCATCTTTAAGAATGTTTTTAAAATCAAATTATTTCCTCCCATATGTAAGCTACAATCTTTTATCTCCACTCGCCCCCCCCACCAAAGAAAATAAATGCTCCATGAAGCTAAGCAAAATACATAAAACAATCTTAAAGGTTTGTGATGATCAAACACTTTTTATGTTCTGGAACAGGAAAAATGGAAATTCAGCCATTGCTTCCTTGCTTTAAAATAGAAGAAGCAGAACCCTCGTGATAATTTGGATCATTAATATTCCTCAGAGTCGAGAAAAAACATTTATCTCAATCTCAACAAGAATGATGGGTTGTGAAGAATTTACATGAATCTTACAAGCCTTAAAAATACATTAGGGAAAGACAGATTGGAATAAACTGTTGCCATTTATAAATATACATGTGAGGAAGATTGCATTTTGTATCATTCCCATTGAACTAAAACAAGTAGTAATCATTACTGCACCCTCTACCATGAATCCAGCTCATATCTAGAGAGAGAGAGAGAGAAAGTGGGCCAGATTTAGCTAAACTGAAGGCTTGGGTTTTACTTCTTAGGTTTTGCAACCTGGGTTTTACATCTGGGTTTTATATCATCCATTCAGTCCATATCTGTGCAGATTTACTTGAACATAATTCTTAAACCGTTCTGTAAGTTTGGTCCCAGGTAGTTTTATATATGACTACACATTTTACAGCACCTACCTAATAGTAAGTGCTACTGAGTAGGAATTTTGTTTGAGTATATACCTGTGTAAGACTGCATAGTCATTCTTGCAGGAAATTAAACTGGGAAAAGACTACGATCCATGTGCTTTAGTTCATTGTTTGGTCTAAAGCTGCAAATTACTCAAGTTTCCAAATCCCCTATTTGATGAGCTTAAATACTATTGTTAAACCAAAATCCACTGAGCTGATATCTTACTACTGCCCATAACAACACTACTTAATTTTTTATATAGGTTGTTTACCAAGGTCGTATTTTTGAAAGTACAAACTCACAGGGATGGCTCACTTAAGCAGGGCAGGAGTTATTTATCTTCATGCAACTCCTCTTGCTAGAATCCCTCCCTTGGAAAAGACATCTAATGTAGTAAAGTAGGCAGAAGATAGTGACACTAGGAGAAAGCTTGCTTGTCTGTGAAAACTGGAGTACTGCTATGACCAGAGATATTAATACCAACTCAGAGTTGCAGCTCTGTGATCCTCTGGTGTCTCAACATTTCATAAGTGCTGAGTCCAGTAATAGGAAATAAACACTTGCCAGTGAACTTTTCAGTTGAGTATGTCCTTATTCAGTTGTGGCAGTTGTAAACAAAACTGAAAGCACTGAGCAATGTTTCATGAATAAATAAATTAAAAATAAAATGAAGTGAGCATAAAAGCCACTGAAAAGCTGAAAAAGTCTCTGGGAACCCACACCACTAATTTTTAGTGCCTTTCTTTCTGGTGTGTGTGTGTGTGTAGCCCTTGGTTGCCAACCAAAGTGATAATTAACCTTTAGCTTCCCAGAGACAACCCACCCTAGATTTATACTCTTCACACAAATGTAAACAAACATATTATTCATTTGTTTAAATACACGTAAACACCCTTCTTGGGAGAAGGGCAGGAACTAAAGGGGAAACACCTATGGGTAGCTGTTAGCTTGCAGAGGCAAGATTTTCTTTATGTTGGCATTAATCGATGTGTCCATGCATATCTTAGTTAGTGAAATATGAAAAGAATGGCTAGGCCAGTTTATCTGAAGAGAAGGAGCAGCTGGTCTGCCTTTTAAATACTCTAAAGCAACTTTACTCCATGAAATGGAATCTCTTCTTTATTTATTCCATTAAATCATTCATCATGTTTCCTTTTAAAATTGTGTAAATATTCTGCATTTTAAAATGATCCACAAAGGTCATCTAAATTCAACTAATACCACTGCATACTTCATATAGCTGGTACCATAACACAGAGTGGTTAATACCTCAGACATTCTTAGAGTACATCACATGGAAGGTCAAAGCTGCAGGCTAAGCCTCTCTAGTCAAGCTACAGCAAAATAGGTTTACACAAAATCCTTTAAGAATTTCGAAAAGCCAGGCATCAGCTAAAGCTGCTTTAACCACAAACCCATTTGAAATTGCAAGTGGAAAATGAACACTGGAATTGTAGCCAGGGTTCTCTGTTGTCCTGTCATTCAAGGAGCTGAGAAGAGAAAGGAACAAATCGACTCTGTGTAACCCTTTGCAAGCCCAATTACAAAAGTAGAACTAGATTACTCTTAGGAGAGAACTCCACCAAAAGAGGCAGCCTCCTCGTGCCATCTCCTTCCCCCCTCTTTGCTACATTCAGACACAATTATCAGAGTTTTGACATCTTCTGTCTTTACCTATCAGCACCACTATCAGATAATTATGTGCATTTAGGAAATGCATAACTTCATAATATGTAATATGGGTGAGTGGGGCCAAACATTAATCCTCATGGGCTAGGAAAGAGTATTTTAGTCTCCAACTACCTATGTTTATGACTGGCATGTAGGTGCATTTAGTCAACTGGGAAGTATTTTTGGTTGAATTTCTTAATTATTTCAATTTCCTACATAATTGCTGGTTTTTCACTGTCTACACCTATAAGACAATTAGGATGGAAAACAGGAAAAGTAAGTTTTATCATTCTATCCTAACAATTTGTTCAACCACACCTCTTCCTCTGTTTATAAGAACAGTGTTTCTAATGGCAGGAATGCAACTTAAACTGGAGTGCATTGCTCAAGATTGGTTCAAATTCATACTCTTGGTTTTATTTCACTAGCAAATTTTCTCCAACTTTGTTCCTTGATGAAACTCCAGGAATTATTTGTTCTCTCAGGTGGACAGTAGCTATCCTGTTTCTTGGTTTCTGAGAGCTGCAGTACAAAAAGTATCTTTTCCAAAAACTGGCCCAGACCAAAGTCTGCTTAGCTTTAGCACTGTCGCTTTATAGAATTTAGGTTGCATAACTGAGTGCTGTTGTCATGTGCTTTGAAATCACTTCTGAAGTATGGCAGCCCTAAGAGGGATTTCAGGGTGCATGAGATGTTCAAGGAGTGCTTTTCAGTGTGTTTCCCTGCTGGGCAGGAATTTGGATCCAGGTCTTCTCAGTCCTAGTATGAGACTGTAACCACTGTGTTGTCATGTATTAGATCAAGCAACAAGGGCCTCATTCACATAAGGTGTGTGGCTCAGATTGATGCAAGTTGGAACTATGATTCCTTTTCCCCATAGAGCTGTGATCACTCACTCCATACCTGTTCTGATGACAGCTCCCATACCTGTTTTAATTTTTCCTTGAATGTAATCCAAGTTGAGTTTCCACACTAATGCTTCTCTCCTGTCCACTTCCAATTCTTCCTTCCCTTCCATGGTCTCCTCATTGTCCCCCTTTCTCTTTGCTTTGGAAGAGATATACTGTACATAAACTTTGTTCTTCTGTGGACCTTGGAGAAGGAAGAACTTCCAGAACTTGAGAGTCATTACAGTTTTGATTGGTATCATTTTGAGTACGCAGAGAGGGGAAGTTGAGACAAAATACCCTATTCAGCATAATTCGAGAGATGTTTAATCACTGTATAGCAGATAGTTTCTTTTCTTTGTGGGAAGAATCATAGAAGAAAAATTCAGAGCCATTAGCTTCTCTTTTTTTGCAGGGCAAAACAGCATGCCATATTGATCCTGCCAGGCATGAAGCAGACTGTAAGAGACAGCAGTGCTGGAGAGTGGTGGTTGTTGTGGGTTTTTCAGGCTCTTTGGCTGTGTTCTGAAGGTTGTTCTTCCTAATGTTTCACCAGTCTCTGTGGCCGGCATCTTCAGAGGACTGTCCAGAGCATGGACAGAGGTCCTACTCCAATCTTCTCAAGATGCCGGCTACAGAGACTGGCAAAATGTCAGGAAGAACAACCTTCAGAACACGGCCAAAGAGCCCGAAAAACCCACAACAACCATCAGATCCCGGCCGTGAAAGCCTTTGAGAATACAGTGCTGGAGAGGTTTTTCATTTAGCAACTTCTTGTCACTTCCTGGTGAAACTGACTGGCTTGGTCAATTTCATCTGGCCTGATCCCAGTGAGGCTTTCAGGTCATGGCAAGAAGGCAGTGTAGTGTGTGTGTGTATCTCCTCTTTCTCTTTTAATCTAAGCAGGGAAGCACACTTCCAAAGATAACATTACAGCTGATATCAGTTGAGTTCNCTCTAAGCAGGGAAGCACCCTTCCAAAGATAACATTACAGCTGATGTCAGTTGAGTTCTATTTGTGCAACCCCCCCAATAGGAACCAAGCTTGTTTGAGACAAAGGAACAGATAGGACTTTCAGATCTGGAAGGAACTGGGCTATAAAAAACTCTTGTTCCCAAGTAAAATGGGAGGGAAATGAGAAAGATAGGTACGTTTCTACAGTAACATTATGCAGACATATTAAACTGATCTGAATCAATCTGTTAGGGATTTCCTCTTAAACAGGAGCAAATAAAATGCATGGATCAGCTCATAGACTAAAATTTATATAGTCTTGTTTTCTGGAATGTCTAGCAATATGTACAACTCTATTACACCAAATCATGTAGACTTAAGCTAATTTGAAACCTTAATACGTTAATTGGCTTCCAGACCTGGCTATCAGTCTCTTGTGCTTTAGGTAAATGGTGTTGTGGAATCTAATTGTCTACTTTGATTAAGCTGTACACGTGACTTAATGGAAGCACTGTTGATGGTAGACCTATAAAATGCTTTCTGCATGACTCACTTGGGACAAGTGAAACAAAGCCTCCTGATGACAAGACAAAAAGATTATTGTAAGCTAGAAAGCACTGAATGCGTTTAGAAATGCTGTACTTTACGTTAGAATTATATCAGCATGGTGAGGGGGGCAGGGTACAGTACTGGTTAGAACTCTGGTCTGCATTTTGGGACAATCAAAGGGAAAGGGGGGCTTACTTATAATAATTGGTAAGCAGTAAGGAACACCCCCCCCCACTCAGAAATATCAAAGTGTATGATTACAGAATGCATTGAAGCCTTGTTGTGGTCATGTCAGGCTGCCAGTATCAGGAAGGGCATCTGTCCAGACCAGTGGTGTTCTTGGACTGCAATTCCCGGAAACCTTCACCACCAGCTGTGCTGGCCAAGGTTCCTGGAGTTGCAGTCCAAGAACAGCTGGGTTCCCCAAGGTTGTCTAGACAACAACTGCATGGCTCCACAGTGTTGGCTGAGGTAAGGGCAAGAATTCCTTTTCTCTACCTACACCAAGTAAGGGCAAGAATTCTGCTCTATAATTATTTGTTTGTAAGTTCTGCCAATTATTCTGACCACCAAACTATTTCACTGGCCACTAGCATTTAATGCATGTTAGTTATCTGTCCTTCCAACATATAAAATCAATCCCTGTCCCAGCAAGTACGTATGTACGAAAACATGTAGGCTATGTGCTTGTGGTAGGGACTGCTCCCAAAGTATGTGAATCCATTGTAATGTGCACAGGGACAAGACACGTTTATAGTTGCCTTCTTTCCATGAATGTGTTTGGTTGCAAGAGGATACCACCACCATGGTGGTTGATTTATAGGACTTCAAGAAGCTTGGAGGCATAAAGATTCCCATTTTTTCTTGATATTCAGAAGGGAGTGAAATCGCATTGCCAGGTTCATTTTAACTGGAAGAAAAAATATAATTGAATGCAGAATTATTGGACAGGAAACAGTGGTGTGTTCATATCTCCTGCATTTTGGCATTTCTCCAGGCAGATCTCTCTCTCTCTCTCTGTGTGTGTGTGTGTGTGTGTGTGTGTGCGTGCGTGCGTGCGTGCTTATGCATATTTTAAACAAAGCAGCACAACATAATGTAAATTGCTATCTCTTGTTTTTCTTTTTCTTCTTTCCTCTAGAATGGACATGTCTGTTGTTCAGTGGATCCACAGTGCCTTCAGGAACTGTGAGGCTAATGACCGTGCATTGTAGGCTGTTTCTGGATATAGAATTTTCTTTTTCAAAAGACTTGTAGACCAAAAATTGTATAAAGCCAAAACTGGAGCAAGATCAGTTTTGTCCAATTAAAGTGCGGAAATGCTATGAATTGAATGAGCTGTCAGTTTCCTCAGTCTGAGTGAAATGTGTAAAACTAGGAACAAGTTCAGATGTATAAACCTGTGTTTGGATGTGAGGTTCAACTTCTGGTTCATCTTGTGTTTGACATCAATATGTAAGATATTGGACTAGAGCGAGAAAATGACGTGAGCAGAAATATGTCGGAATCCTCAAGCAAGGAAAATATTTCTTGATTTTTGCGAATACACTTCATCCCTGGACACTGAGGTTCTTTTTGTTTTGCTTTTTAAAAAAACAAACAAAAACTTTACCAATAATTGAACATACATTGGGTTTTTTTTGTTTTGGATTTTTTTTAATTGGTAGTCACTGAAAAATTTGCCAAAAATTGGAATACAAGGAAAGTATCTTCTAGAAACATGGAATGGTGTCATGACATATGTACAGCTCAGAAAAATGGGTTCCAGTTATTGTAGAAATAATAATAATAATAAAGAAATAATGCACAGGCATGACTACTTAATGTTTTCTGATGGAAAAAAATCATCTATATTTCCTTGTTCAGCTGCACTTATTTCTTGATTGAATTTGTTCAGTATAAGCTCGTTCTTGTGCAAAATTTAAATAAATATTTCTCTTATCTTATATTTTGGAGTATTTGTCAGTGATGTGGGTGGCAGGATGCATCCATTCATGAACTCTGCTTGTATGTTTCCCCTTCATGGGATGAGCTGGCCTATCATCCTCACTAACATCCCAATCCCAGATCTCACAGTTGTTCACATGTTCGATGGGGAAGAGCTGAGTCGAATTTGGGTTATGATCATGGTTCCACATTGGAATGAAAGTCTATAGAGTCAAAGTAGGCGTCTCTTTTCTGACCTTCCTGATACAGTGCACAGAGGATGTTTAAAGGGATGTTTAAAAGGATGTGATAGAGGAGGTGAAGCTAGTGGGGACTGGCAGAGCTACTCTTTTACAAAAGGCTCATAGACCAAGTCTTTTCCCACATCAGGATTCAATTGTAATTACATGAGTGACTATGCCCCAAAGGGCTTTCACGGAACAAAGTTAAAAATTACCTTTTTCCTTTGTTGTATGTTTAGATAACAATCTGGATCATAACTGCCAGTGTAGGAAAGGGCCACCATATCCTCTCCACCCCAAACTTTCTGCATCAGGTTATTTGTAAACAGAGACAGAAATAAAAATGCCTTTTACTCAATCAAAACCAGAATTCCTCAGGGAAAAAAACATATAATATGATGTTTAGTAGAGCATGGGTTGTACAGTTCCCAGTTCATGCATACTATTAACGGGTAGGACTATTTTCAATGCAGAGGTTCAGGAAGCATGAATTGACTGGGGCATAGTCAAAACAGTTGCATGCATCCTCATCAGACCTGTCTTGAAACAACTGCTTGGAAATGAGCCCTAGGTGCTAGATATAAATATAATTCATACAAATCTAGTTTATATGAGAGTAAATTATTGAAACCTCTCTAACACAATCATTCTATTGGTGCATGGGAGTACACCAATAATCTTGTGGTGGCAACATTCTATAAGGCAATTCTAAAAATGGGGGTGGTCAAAATAAAATTTACAACTACAATTCACACTTGCTGAAAAACAGCCCTGCCAAATGCATTGTGTTTGGGTGATTCAAAAAAGGAGTTAGCCTCTGGAATTTCCCCTTGTTTTGTGTGATTTTATGAATGGCAGTCAGCACACGAGGGTATCATATAGGACAGTGGTTCCCAAACTTCAGTAACAAAGGTATTCTTGGACTGCAACTCCCAGAAACCACAGGCAGCACAGCTGGTGGAGAAGGCTTGTAGGAATTGCAATCCAAGAACACCTGGGTTACCCAAGGCAGGGAACCATTGCAGTAGACCATCTTGACTGCTGCCATTGGTGTTGTCAACATTCTGGCTGACTTTTGCTATGTAAAGCTTGGTATACTGTTTCCTGCTGGCAACACAAGCATGAGAGTGTACAGCAGTATTGCACCATTTTCTGGCATTTTGAATTGTGAATACAGAAGCACATTATCTCAGATTCATAAAATGGAGGGTTTTGTGTTGTTTTTCAAGAACTAAATTTGAAAAAAAGTGAAACTTAGTAGTAACATTTCACATTTTGTAGAACCTATTTACTGTATGTCAGCGATGTTATGAAAGTGATAATAATGGAATTACATTTTGACTTACTTGGGGAAAGTATGTATGATTAGCATATCTGCTGTTTTGGTTCCCAGTTATTGTGCAGGAACATTTTGCAGAAATAGATTGATTTAGTGTAACAGTATCCTTAGATACAGTATCCTTACACTTACACCCACCTATACACACATTGTTAATATGAATAAGGTTTCATAACTAACAATATGTTTAACTTTACCAAGCACAGGTAGCCTTGTGCAGGGAGTGGGTTATATTTCTTTGCATTGAGCTTTGGTGATAATAAAAAAGTCTGTTCCAGATTTGAAAATGTTTTCCATATGGCAGCTCTGAAGATACAGCCTTCTTATTTTCAAGATTTTTCCTCCCATCTTGCTGCAAGAGAAGCATACAGAGAGCTCATCCTGTCTAGCAGGGCAAACAGGAAGCTCAACTGCACAGAAGCCATTTCCTGGGATCCATATATATAGCAAAGCCTCACAAGTAGCTTAGGATCTGAGAATGTTGCTCAAGCAGAGGTGTTTCCATCAGGACATAAAAAAGAGTAAAGATGCAAAATGGTGCAATGAACCCTTTTAGTTGTTCATGTTCCCATATTTTGACCCTTTTACACACATACTTTTTCATAATTTCCCAAAAACAAAAGCTCTTTTTTACAAGATGACATATATAGATCTTTATTTTGATTAAAACATTCCCATAAAACTATGGTGCTTTGGGTGATCCCTTGAGATTAAATAGAAACTGTCTAGTGTGTTGGGGCTAATATGGCTAGAACACAGCTGGACTAGCTGACAATTCGAGAAGATAAACAGAGATGTAATATGGTCAGAAAAATAACATTTTGCAGTGCAGCATTCTGTAATGTAAAGGCTATGACATTTTTCAAAATGAAGTGCTCTCTTCTTGCCCTCCTATGTACACAGAGACATATGCTTTCCTGAAGTATCCGGTCTATAAGTAATACATACTCAAGGGACTGCTGTTTTATCCACAGATTCTGTCAAGCGCCAATCAGTGTTCTTAAAGCAAGAATGCTGGCTCCTCGAGAAAGGGGCTGTTTTAATACACCATTTTCCTGCCCGCTAATAACTGTCAGGGGATCTTGCTTTGCCCTGAGCTGCTCAGTGCAATGACACTTGTCGACAATGGCAGTTGTGTGTTGGCATGCAAGAGTTTTAATTTGACAGAAGGCAGTGCTGCTTAGGGATTATGCTGCAAATTTTATTGCAGGATGTGTTTAGTTAGTAATGTGAGGGGAATGAATTGCTGACATACTGTTTCTGGCAATGAAGAGCTGTTGAAAGTTATAGGTCCCAGTGGAACTAACAAGGATCACAAGCAGTAACCACAGCTAACTCCTGGATCTGCAGAATAGGATTGTGATTTTGTTGAAGAAGCAGAGAAACCAAATCAGATTTTAAAAGGAAAAAAAAGCAACGTTAATATGGATCCTGGGCTTCAGATAGAGAATATAAATTACAAACAAGAATGAAATGAAGAAGTCTTATTCAATTGACCAATACTGAAGGTTTTTAATTATTTGAAAGCTCAGATAAGAGGGTCAGTTTGCCTCATAGTCATTGCCCCCTACCCTTATCTCGATACGACTCTGAATTTTCTGAAATCACACGTGGGCTGAAAGAAGTCTAGGCTTAAGTGTGGCAGGACATGCAAAATGAAATATTTATTGTTCATAAACGGGTGTGTCATGGTCACACAAATAGTTAAAGTGGGATGACTTGTATAGAACAGAATTCCAGGAAGGAAAAGAATGGGTTGGCTGAAAAACTTTGGAACATGGCTTGGATGCAACATAACATCATTGTTTCAGGCTTCCACATCCGAAGACAGAATGGCCATAGTGTGAGAAGAGAAAGTTTCTTATATGCTACAATAAAATGATCAATGCAGACTTCGGAAATCTTACAAAAACATGACAAGCACCTTGACAGTAATGACTGTGAATAAACAGGCCTGCAGACAAATTTGTTCTGTTTTGTTGTTCTTTCCATGAAACACATGGGCAGGGGGAGGCAGTGTTTCCATAATATTATATATTGTTAGCAAGCAACCAGGAATTCAGTACAATGGACAGCACCTAGAAAACCTAGGCCATTCTTCCATGTGTTGCAGTTTAAGTGATAGCTTTATGAAATGTATCAACATCCAAGCAAGGAGGGGGGTGTGTGTCCTCTCACAATTTTGGGATGAGGCCCCATCCCTACACTGCTTGAGTCATGAGACAAACCAGCTACACAAGAATGCAATCAGATACAGCTCATTTGGGGGATGCACTGTTTATGTCCCACAGATTTATTATTATGTGTAACCAAGGTATATTTACAAAGTTGAGAAAGCCTTGCATATTTGATTCAATTTTATTTTATTTTTCTACTGAAGGTGGAATATTAGAAAGGAGATCACATGAGGTTATGAAGCATTTCAAATTTTAACAGTCCTGAAAAGCAAGGCGGTGGCATATTCTCTAAACCTTTGCTGAGTTTAAGACTGTTTGTGATAGAGACTTTCCTTGCTGGATTAGGACTAAGAAGAAATATCATGTATTTTTCCAAGTCTCCAATACACCCCACTGGCCCACTGGATGTTTCTGAGCAAGTTTGGTATGGCTTATTCTGATGTCCATACATTGGTTTTTCCCCTGTAAGAATATCTGACTTTTTCAGGAAAAACTTTGCACAAACGAGCATCCATGCTAGTGGACATCCAGTTACAACTGTGTCTCATGACTGTTTCTCACTTGCAGAAAGACTTCCATCAGCCATGTAAATGGCAGAGCTGAGGCCTAAACACCCTTTTGAAAGGAATTTGATCCAAGAGCTAGTTCATATGTGACTTAAAATTTCTAACAAAACTCCTTCACTTTAATTCAGTACAAGTCATATTTGAAGAGGGATTCTAAGACCTCACATCACAGCCCTACTTCTGATACGAATGTGTCCTAAGATTGAAATTGGTATTGTTTTTAAAATAATCAGAAATTGCATTGCCTGCTTCTACACCAATATTTGCATCCGTAAACCTCATGAAATCAATAGACAACTACAACTGCACAGGTGTGAGTTTCATGAGCCT